ACACGTGCTTACCCGCGAGTTCGCTGTGGGGGCGCGGGGAGCTCAGAGCCCACTTGCTTTTTTACAGATTTACTTTGCCAGAAGCTTCTAACCGGGTGCAGCCTTCTATTCTGCATACAGACAGAAGGCTTTCAACAGCAGAGCCTGTGGATGAAACAGACTTGAAACTCCTGCCGTGTAATTAGTTTATCCGTGAGGATCAGCGACTCTGGGTTTTAGAAGAATTTATCTTAAGGCGTGTTCAGGGCATCTGCCCCCACAGCCAGGCCCCCGACATTCTTCTAAGGACAGGAGTTAGGACGAAGGTATGTGGTTGTCGGGTCAGAATGTTGGGTACAGAATCAAGTTATTCCTTGTGAGTCAGTCGAGAATATCAGAGCACCTTTTTGAACTTGAAGTGTGGCCAGTGACGCTAGGGAACGGAATTTTAATGGCTCCTTTTAACTAAATTTAAATAGCTGCTGGTTTAGGCGCAGGAGCCATCTGCTCACTGAGTGGAAGAGTGGGCGCGCTCCTCCCTGCTTGCAGTCAGGTTCTCGTCCCCTCCTCCCCACTTCTTTTTGGGGTACATGTCCACGGTCAAATTTGTGTCTAAGAGGTGCATTGGTGGGGTTCCTGCTGTATAACGAAGAACAATTTAGTTAAATACAAATATATTAAGTGACAATCTGTAGGCTGTATGGCTCTTTCTGTTTCATATAAGGGTTTTTGTGCCTCACAGTTTTGACTGGTTGGCATCTGAAATAACTTGCATTTTTGTGAGAAAATAATTCCGTGGAACCTGCTGCGGTTAATCCGTTCGATCAGGAGAGGACACTGTGACCTGCGGCCTGGTTTTGGGCTCGGGTAACAGCGGCCTTGCCATTTGGAATGGTTGGGGGAGAGTCAGGCTAGTCATGACGTGAAGTGTATGAAGTTCAAGCGTCAGTGCCGTGGAGATGGTGCTAGCGGGCCCGGCTTTCTCCCTGGCTCACTGGGTTTCTGAGGCTGCCCTGTCCTAGGAAGGCAGACTTGAGTGTTGTGACCGAGTCCGTCTGGCCACAAAGCTGAAATGCTCACCGCCTGGCCCTTCGCTTACAGAAGAAGGTCACCCACCTCTCGGGTTTTTAAAGGCCTTTCTGCAGAAACGGGAAGTTTACTGGAACGCCGGCCCCTCTGCTTCCGTAGGAAGTGTGCCAGCAGAGGGTGACGGAGGGGACTGGGGGCACTGGTGGGGAGTTTGAATAATGCACCTGCAGGCAGAGGGGTTTCTGAGTTCAGGCGTACAGTTCAGAGCACTGCGTTCCCAGGCGCCAGAGCACCAAGGAGCTGAGGAAACACGGTGACGCTCGGCATTTCCTGGACACCGGCAGCTCCCAGTTCCGTCGCCTTTGCACGAATGCGTCGCTGTGTGCCTGGGGGGGGGCGGGTCCTGTGTTTGTGAAGCCGGGCTTGGGTGTCGCTGTGCAGCAGCACTTGAGGGAACGGGGCGGCAGCAATGCCCGGGCGTTGGCCCTGGCACACCCTGGAGAAGTGACCGAGGTGCTGACGTTTGGAAACGTCCGGTGTGGCAGCACGCGGCAGTGCTCTGGACACTGTCCTCTCGCCAGTCACCAGTGTCACCAGCGATGATCTTCAAGGCAGAAGCAGCCCGAGAGCAGGGCGCCCAGGCGGGTCAGAGAGGTCACCCGCGAGACCTTTCCCAAAGGGGCCCAGTTGGACCGCGTGGGCCTGGGCTGCTCATCTGAAGGAAACTTAGAAAACTCGCCGCAGCCTCTCGCATGGCGCGGACAGGGCTGCAGGTCTGGCCTGGAAATCGAAGGCCTTGGTTGCTCCTAATCTCATGCTCGTGTGAAAATAGCCAGTCTGACTGGGTTGTCAGTAAGTATTTGGATGAATCAGGCTTATCATGACTAACTGGATTTTAATTTTTCCTTTAAAGGGCTCAAATTTATACAAATTTTAATTTTTATAAATAGCTCATGCACACATTTGTGCAAAAACAGCACAGATTGGGACCTCAGTTTAGGAGTGGACTGCATAGAGGTTTCTCTGAGAGGAGGGGGGATCAGCCCACGGAGCACTGAATGGTGGGAACATGAGCGCCGGGGCCTGGTCCCTGGGTGGCTGTCACTCTGACATCGAGAATGAGCCTCGGGCGCACAGGCTCTGTGTCCGCAGCGGACCCAGGTGCCCGAAGCTGTTCATGGAGCGGCTGCAGCTCCAGCCAGCATCCCGGTAAACGCGTCCTTGGACGGTCTGGGCGGCTTCTCTGGAGCTCGGCCCTGCTTTGCTCCCGTTTGGTTTTGCTCAGGTTCCTCCCCCAGGACGGTCCCCTCCTCCTGGGGCTGCTTCTTCGCCGCGGCCGCTCCTCAGGCCCTGGGAGGACGCCCTTCCTCAGCAGGGCCTTCGGCACCAGCACCAAGGGATTGCCCCGAGGTCCTGAGCAGTTTCTCGTCAGTGCATTCTAGAAGGTTCCGCCTCCTCGGTCTTCTCCCTTGTCCTCTACAGAGAAAGCTGTTTACGTCTTGCCTTTGCACAGCCCATTCCTGTGCCTTCCACTTTTGCATTCTCTAGAACCCAGTGCAGTGTCTGCATATGGCACGCCCTCTGCATCCATCTGTACAGGGATAAAATATATTTTTATTGATTTCAGAGAGGAAGGGAGAGGGAGAGAGAGAGAGAGAGAAACATCAATGATGAGAGAGAATCATTGATTGGCTGCCTCCTGAATTCCCCCTACTGGGGATCGAGCCTGAACCCGGGCATGTGCCCTTGACCGAAATTAAACCCAGGACCCTTCAGTCCACAGGCAGACACTCTGTCCGCTGACCCAAACCGGCCAGGGCTCAGTCTGTAATTTTGATCATGAATGAATTACAGAATTTTAGCTCTGAGGGACTTTGGTCAATTTACCACATTTGCTTGATATATTGTGTTTTGGGTTTTGTTTTGTTTTTTTTGAGCCACTGGCAACATCTAAGAGAGACTTAAGGCATAGTTCGTGTTTTCGTGTATGGATTTTCCAGAGCAAAACCAGAATTGCTTATAAGTGAGTCGACAGCCAGACCTAGTGCCATAGCTATCCAGGTGGGTATATGGAAAGCAGCCGGCTTAGCTGGTTGGCTAAATTGGATGTGAACATAGTTCAATTTAAAGGAAGGTTCTTTAAATGGAATTTCTTTTAAATGGGTTTTCCTGGCAGGATGCAATATTAAGTTCATTCGTTCTCAAGTTAAAATGTCTTCGCTAAAATATGGTTTTCTTTCGCACAGTACAAGCTTTTAATGTCAAAACTGCATTCAGAGGTTGACGAAAAAGCTGAAGGCACTGTTGCCAAGCTCCCAAATTGCAGGTTCAGAATCCCTTTTGAAAGACGAAGAGTGGGCGAAGAAGGTGGGAGGAAGCCGAGTTACCCAGAAGGCAGCTCTCCTCTGGGGGCCGGTGGCGGAGGCCCTCGTCTTGTTTCGTTACTGGAACACTTGCTGCGTTGCCCAGAGAGACTGAGCAAATGGCTACAAGAGTTAGCGCTCTCACAAAAGTCATGTTTCCTTTTCAGAGGAGACATCACAGACCATTTCTCCCTCCGCCAGATCACTTCTGGGAGAGTTCATTGTGTTTGGCCTTTTCTTGATTTCATAAATGTGAGTGTGACGAGGAAATGACCTGGTGACATTGCAGATAATTGGTGGGAAAGGAGACACTTGGAAATGAGGGCCGCTCTTCTGAGCGGGGATAGGAGGCGCCTCCTGGGGGTTCTCGGTGCGGAGGGAGAGTGGGAGGCTGCGGGGTGGGCTCTGCGGCCCAGGCAGGGTTTGAAGATAGGGGAGCTTCTCCTAGAAACCTGTGCGCTTTCGTTCCGTCGCCTGCACGGGTGGCGCCAAGTGAACTAGTCCGGTACCTGTGTGTATTTCCCACGAGTTTGGATGAATTATATATAGAGCAAGTCTTTCTTTCTTTAAATAGTTTGTTCCAAGATAATTGTAGGTTCACAGTACACGAGCATTGTTCACAAGCAGGAATACGGAGAG